GGTAGAATATATCTCACTCTCATATATATATATAAATTTATCTGTGATAATATATATATATATATATATATATATATATATATATATATATGAAATTGTTGAGTATTCTGTATTGCATAACTATTATGTATTTCCTTTGTGTTATTATCAGCTCAAAAAGAATTTCGCGAGACTAATATCACTTTCAGATGATGCTGTCGGCTTTACAAGCGCAGTTGGAATTGGGCGATTGTCAGGAGATCATATCGGAACCGGATTATCGAACAATATCCAGTCACTGCCTATCATCGAGACTGGTGCCGTGCCTGTGTGTGGATGGTGTGCGCCAGCACCATCAATCTCTACGTGGAATGACACCGCCGGAGGCGAAAAAGGCTTTCTTAAATCTGATCCAGTCGTGGCCGTTGCACCGCGCGACAATCTTCGACGTGATGCAATCGTTTACTTCGAATTGGCCTCGCGTCCTCTGGCTGGCTGTTGACCAGCAGGGTCTTCATCTCCTAGAACACCGTTCCAGAAACGCGTTGTGTACTTATGAATATAGCAGTATTTTAAGCTATACGCCTGCCGTTAATTGCTTGATGATTATTACTGGTACGGATAAGAAGCAGAGCAAGGTCATCCTCACTACGTCGCAGGTAATGTGATTCAAGAAGAGAAATGTCATCATTTAGTATGTTTACTCAATCTTTGGAAAAAATTTTCTAATTTTCTAGGAATTTTTATTCACGTCTTTAGCAAAGTAAAAATATTAGATAAAATAAAATAGAAATTGCTATAAACATGAAGTATCGATATTTAATTAAAAAAGAAAGTTCTTAAATAATATTTGAGTCACTATATAAACATATAGTACTTTGGTACTCGCAAAATAAAAAAACAATATTAAAGAAATAAAATCCTCGATAAAAATTTTTCGATTTTTAATACAATTGAAAATTTCTCTATGTAAAAAATAATTCCAGATTTTTTCTAAGTAAACATTATATAGATTTTTTGATGTAACAGACATATGCAGATATTATATATACGTAACTATATATATTATAGATATATCTATTTAATTCAATATTCAACTTTATATTGATTATTTTATTCTTCAGGCTCATCAAATAGCGAATCTAATCCGTGAGTATATGGAAGTGCTTCAGTCACCGCCGGAAATTCCGAGGCGAGACTCGACAATGGCTCAACAGTTGGCCGCTCAACAGCAACAGCAGCAACAACAGCAACAACAGCATCAGCAACCGCCTACGAGCCTATCAACGTCTGCGGCCGGCGGACGAAAATCTCGGCCCGCTTCAATGTTACATAGAGGTGCTCCAGTAATACAATCGCAAGCTAGTTAGAATGGCTAAGTAATCTTCTCGTTAAATTTAAAAATGAAGTTTCCTTTCAATCTGCTACTTATCGAGTTTTTATTGTTAGTCACCGCACGTTCCATTACCAAGTGCCATAAATTCAAGATTATGCACACTACGCCATGTAGCGGCCAGTGTCTATTTTATAAGAAATATGCATATATACAGTAAATTTTAATTTTCAAATCACGCTTCGTCCATATCACGATGAGGCGTTCCCTCTATGTAGCTATCTTAGCAATTTACTCCGAGATTAAAACGTAGGACATTTAATATCAGGTTGTGGCGATAAGACAATTTATATTTAAACGCGTTACACATTTAATGCTAATTGCGGCTATCTGAGCTTCAATATGATCCTCGTATATTAGATCTGAGCGACGTAGTGTTTAATAAGAGGCATCACAAAGACATGCGGAATTCAATCTTCCGTCTTGAAATTCAGACTTTTGTCTCGTTCGGAAAAGCCGCATTCTGCAATAAATGCGATATAGATAGGAATACGAATATATGGGACGAAGTCTTAAATTAATTATGCTTTTTTTCGGCCGGGCCTATCGAGGCGACGATGAATCGTCGTGTAAAGACGGCACTAGAGCTTAGAGATACTTATTTCTTCCACTATTTATTGGATTAGCTTAGACCTCGAGAGAAAAACGTCAAAGACTAGACTCAATTAGTCTCCGCGAATTTAGCAGATTTAGGGAGATGAGTGATAAATAACTGCCATTAGAGAAGTTATTAACTGCAGGGAAAGTTACCGAGGACTTTTCCATTTCTATTGCGACCGTTATCATTGTTGCCTTTTTTACGAGTGACCGCCGCCACGTTTTTTGATAAAGGATTTTTGCAGTACGGAAATATAAACATGCGAGAGCGAGAGTACGGAAATATATATACGGCGATATTTAATGTTCAAACATTTATTCCGTATACACCGTTATAATTCCGATCGACAATGTTTTATCCCTCCGGCATATCAGTTAATATCAACTGAAGAGAGTGATTAAGAAACTACGCAATTATCTACGAAGCGACCAAAAAAATGCAATCTTCCGAGCGTAAGTTAACGTTTGACTGATTGTAAGCATATTTACCTGTTAATATTTACATTAATTCCTATATACACAAAAATTTGGAACACGATACTGTGACCATTTTCGATATTATAGATTCACAATAAAGGAATCTATATCGATTATTTAATGAAGACAATTCAGGTATGAGAAGGAATGTTTTGTTGAAACGTTTGCATTTTAAGAAACTGAATTACATCTGAAAAACTTTTCGACTATCATTGTATTTCCTGAAACTTGAAGTCGTAAGGTATAATCGCCAGAGGATCATTTTTTAAAAATCGATTTGTAATAATATGTTTAACGATGTATATCTTAAAAATTATAAGACGATTATATGTCGTTAAACGAATTGCAAGTTCAATAATTAAACCTTTTTTTTAATGTGGTATTAAGTATTATATATATATTGATTCTTTTTTTATAAATGCTGACTTCGAGGTTAATTTTAATTAATTTTTAGAAAAAATAGAAAAATATCACAAAAAACGTGGAATGATATTAGCTGCATGCAGCACATAAAACTGATCAATAATAAATGGCTCGGTCATTCTTTAATATGATTGGTTCCTACACTTTAATATAATTGATTCCAACAAAGAACTAAAGACAAGAAGTAATCAAAGAAACTAAATACTGAGCGCTTACTGATCAGTTTTCTTTGCTGGACACAGCGATTGATTTTAGAATCAGTTGTTTTGAGATTATCGTAACCGATTTTACGAATGTTTAATTCACAGAATAACATACTTTTTCGCATAGCCTTAACGTACAGATCTCGAATGACAAATTGTACGACAAACGTAAACGAATCGACTGATCTTCATTCTCCATGTAATCCTCTCGATATATCGTCATTTCTTTTCTTCATATAAAGTTAATCGTTAAATTAGAAATAAAAACGGAATAAGTGAGAACGTATCCGCGTGATTGACGCGTCCGCAAGAAAAAGAAATGAAATTGCGTCCAGTCGATATACTTCAGTTAGTCTTTTCAATCCGAGAAACGAAATTCGCTCGTGTAAATATATAAGACACGTTCCATCGTAAACTGATAATAAATTCCGCGTAAGTATCTCCAGTGTTCAGTGGTCTCTTGTCAGAATGCAATCGCATATCCTGTATTAATATAGGAGGACGGCAATTTTATTAATTTTATGTTTTTTACAGATATGTACTTACGTATATATACATTTAATACATTTAATATATACATTTATTTATATGTTTCAAAAATACGAATCGATAAAAAGAAAATAATAAAATGCATTTTTAGTTTAATATTCGCGTTGGACAAGTGATAATTTATTGTGTATTTAAGTTATAATTTTATAGAATTAATTTTGAAATATATGAACTCGTGTATAATTAAAGAATTTGAAGAACTGTTGGGTTTTATAAAAAAAAAAAAAATGCAAATATTTTTGAATATTCTCAGGAACGTCGTAGAGAAGCGCTGTTTTATCGCGACAAAAGCGCGATGGAGATGATTGTTTTGTTATGTTATCGTTTCCATTGAAAGTTTGGCGGAACCTCGACGTGTGCAGAGACAGACTGTGATCCACTTTGGAAGTCTTTAGTCTTCGAGAGCCGTTTAAACCGAGTGAGACTATGTTTCATGTTATTATACGGTATACATGACGCTTGCGTGTGCGTAAGAATGTCCGGAGAACGCGAAATTTAAAAGATATCTAAGGGACGTCTGTAAACAATTTATTGCCTTACTTTTTGGTCAAACAGGCAACATAAAAGTTTTGATGAGCTTCTAAAGAACGTCTGAAAATTTAAGTTTTAAAAAAAGAAAAATTTTTAAATTTTTCATCTCTTAAACGTCTCCCTTTGGACTCTTTGTTTGAATGTCTGAGAAATTAAATCTCAAAGGACATCTCTTAACATTTCAGACATCCTTTAGATGTTTTGAATGTTTCTCGTTGTGTTTTGTATGTGGTGTTTGTATGTGTGTGTGACAGAGGGAGAGGGAAGAAAGAAGCGGAGGGGAGAGAGAGAGAGAGAGAGAGAGAGAGAGAGAGAGAGAGATTAATTATTATAAAAACGATGCACGCGTGTATGTTATTTAAATGATGGCGCCTGCCACATATGTAGCTTGAAGCGAAGTATAAGTTATTGGTTGACAATGTTATATTGATATATATGTATACATATACATATATACATACATATATGTATATGTGTATGGAAACAATGACGCTGTGTGTATATAAATATATAATTATATATAGAGGTATGAGATATTGCGAACGTTGCGCACATAAACGTTTCGAAATGGCCGCAGCGAGTGGAGAACCAACGCGTAACGTCATTGCTGTAAGTGCAAGAGATATTCGCGCCTACGTATTATATAAAAAATATACATACGTATTATATATATCAATGAATAAATAAATAAATATATATATATATTCTATTATTATTCTTTTACATCGAATAATTTTATACGTAATATTTATACGTATTATATATATGTATAAAAATTTAATGTAATATATTAAAATATATTAAATTAATTCTTAAATTAATTAATTATTAAACAAGAATTACATCCTGTGAGTTATATAATTGGGCCTGGCTGTAATTCTTGTTTAACTAAAGATAGAAAAACAATAGTAAAGGAAAGTATTAAATGGTTTATTTTTATGATTTCATTTTTTTTTCTAAGTATAAGAATATACCGGGAAAGTTTATATTTAGTCATAGAAATTGCTTCAAATGCAAGTTATTTTCTCATGCAAATTAATTTATTTGCAAATTAATACACGAAATTAATGGAGAATATCGCGTAGGCGATACAGAGAACTGAACGAGCACACGATTATTTCCGCTTTTGCTTTATTAATTGAGACATTTTACACAACAGTCAGACAAATAACAATCAGACAAATATAACAATCAGACAGATATATTCTTTCAGGCAATTGCCCGTGTAATTATATTTGTGCGACACGAGCGACAGTTTAACTCGGATGCCAGTATATATATCATATATTTCTCTTTATAACATATGAATATATACGCATCTTTGTTTTCATCTAATCCTACTTCGTGACCAGCTTCGTGACCACGGTACCGAGGACACCAAATTGAGACAGCAAAGACAGAGGCGCGATTATTTTTGTGCACCCGCGTACATTCTTTTTTTTCTTTTACATTAAATAATTATAGTAATAAACTGTAATAATAAAAATAACAATAACACTAGCCGACGTGTAATGGAATAATAACAATGACGATAATAGATTTTAACGACAAATAATCTATTTGGATGTTGTCAACCATTAAAATTTCGTAACGTTTCTCTTCTGATTGTAAGCGTTAAGAGCCGAACAACAAAATGTAGTGTGTAAATCTCAACATGTTGGATATGCTCTTCCTGTTCGTATCGTTCACTGTGATATTTTCCCCCGTCACTCTTGTCCATTCGTCTTTCAATTTTCATATACCTTCTCTCTATTTCTCATCGAATATGCGTATGCTCGTTTTATTTATTCAATCGTCGGAATAGAATAGATTTTCTAAAACGCGACTGTAGGTGTAATTCGTACGTATTTCAATTATATAAAATACATAGTGTATGCCTGTGTTTGTATGAAAATATATATACATATATATATATGTATATATATTCATCATACACAGGCATATATACAATATGAATATATATATATATATATATATATATGTATATATGTATATATGTTATATAATTAATTTATATATAATATATATAATAAATATATATTAATATATACCTGATATATATTTTATATATATGTACAAACATATATATTTATATATGTACACATACAGACACGCGCGAACATACACTACATATTATATTAATTATATTGATATGTTGATATGTAATTACCACCCCTCTCACGTCTGCTAGGTTCAACTAACAGTCATATCTCTGTCTAATAAAATTTTGTACAGAAGTATGTGTATGCGTGCGTATCGCGCATGCGACTCGTTTCGCGTTTATCGAACAATCCTTTTTTTTCTCCTTTTTTTTTATTTTGGCACTTGCAATTAAATTGCTGAGATTCTTTACGTAGAGAGAAGGACGGCATACGCTAAAAGCAAGCAATTTGTCGTTTTTTTTTCTTCAGGTGTAATTACATAGATTTTTGCGTCTACGGAATGATGGAACAGGAAAAACGCGTGCCACAGGAAAAACAGGTATCTCGTGCACCGGATCTCTCTAACTTTACTTCATTAAGTCTTCCTCTACATCGAAAAACATCAAAAGCATCAATACACACAACTCAGTCCTCATGTATCTCAGGTTTCGCCCTTTATTTGTTCTCCCTCTTGAAACGAAAAAATGGTCGTTTCGGCCACAAAATTGTGCCGTAAATTACTTATAGCCATTTCACTGAGGTTCATAAAATAATAAAACATACAAAAATAATTTTACGATACGTGGATTGTTGATCCTTCGATCGCCAGTCCGAAACGTTACGTAAATTGAATATGCAATTTATCTTTTGTATTTTTGTGTGTGCATGCTTTGTGTGTGTGTGTGTGTGTGTGTGTGTGTGTGTGTGTGTGTGACCGCATATTCTTTGCGATTTGTATTTGTTTGTGAAAGTATGCTATATAAGAATGTTGCTAAAATTTCTCGTGAGATTGTAACGAATTGTTACGATGTCACGCAAAACTTTATCGATAGGAATGCTTCATATCGGAGGAAATGCATCGACTTCGAGCACCAGATAATTAAAATTCATAAACTAACGTTAATATTTTCTACAGTTGACAAAATATAAATACAAGAAATAAATAATGTTCGTTTGTAACGCTTGCTAATATATCACCTAACGGCGCAGGTGCAGAACGGACCTTTGTTTTTATTAACAAAGGGACTGCATAAATAGAATTATGAATTGCGAGTGGTGACTTTTTCCTCGTCAAAAAAGAATTACAAAATTATCACGTTTATGCATATAACACACACGCGTGCAAATCTCCTTTCTTTTACCTCTGAAAAAAATCATTTACTGATTAATTAAAAGTTAATAACTCGGGAACGGACGGCCGATTTTGCACGCGCGCTTTTTCTCTATCACAATTGCAAAGAGAAGGGGACCATGGAAGGGAATCGTTCTTCGTACATGAATACAGACAAATGTGGATTCTCAGAGACTCTTCGATGATTCGACGATCTACGAAGAAGTAGATAGATAATTTACCCACTTTCTATTTCCCTTATTTTTTATTCCCTTTCTAATGATTAGTTTTATGCGTCTGTCTGTAAGCACGATTCGTCATTTAGAGGCCCTGCACTATCGAGCGATGCACCATCGAATATAACACTGTACAAAACT